TGTCAAACTCAGCCGGAAGCCGGAGCTGTGGCTCATGGTGCTGCCCTGGAAACCGCAAAGGACCGGCCCATGGGGCTTCTGCCAGTGAAGCTGGCCACTCCCCCCTGCCCCCCTGCCAAGATCAAACACAACCTTGATGTGGCCCTCGATTAAATCGAGTTTGACACCCCTGCTTTAGGGAAATGAGTAACAATACCGTGTTTTCCCGAGAATAATTTTATTTTGACCCCCAAAATAAGCGCCTGGCCTTATTTTCGAGGAGGTCTTATTATGTTTGAGGTCCAGGAGGCGGCGAGCGTAGTCACCTCATGGCTGCTGCTGTGTTGCAATATTTTCGGGGAGGGCTTATTTTAGCGCATGCACTCAAAAGCCCGATTGGGCTTATTATCTGGGGAGGTCTTATTTTCGGGAAAACAGGGTAGATCTTGACTTACGATCACAATGGTGCCCAAGAGCCGAGGTGGCGCAGTGGTTAGGGTGCAGTACTGCAGGCCACTTCAGCTGACTGTTATCTGCAGTTCAGCGGTTCAAATCTCACCGGCTCAAGGTTGACTCAGCCTTCCATCCTTCCGAGGTGGGTAAAATGAGGACCCGGAATGTTGTTGGGGGCAATATGCTGACTCTGCAAACCGCTTAGAGAGGGCTGGAAGCCCTATGAAGCGGTATATAAGTCTAACTGCTATTGCTATAAACAAGAACCAGTTGCCAAGCATCTGAATTTTGATCATGTGACTTTGGCGATGCTGCAAAAGGTCGTGTGAAAAAAACTGTCTCTTTTTTAAGTGTCCTGACTTCAGTCACTAAACCAATGGTTGTAAGTCAAGGACTACCTGAAGCATGTTTCCAATTGTCAAGCACTTCACGAAATATTTTGCACTCTTGCAGAGTTATTATCCTCTTTTCAAAATTCTCACAGCCCTTGTAGGTTTTTTCATCCCTTCTTCTTTGACACAAACATTTACAAGGATACCTGTCATTTCTACATTCAGCACATCCTTGTTATCCATCAATCCCCAAAGCGCCCCTTTTCATTATTCCCTCATTTCAATCATTACTTTCATTTTTAATTCTAATAACTCTGCTGAAAGCTCCTTGCCTAGCTCTTTTCATCTACCTCCATTTTTTTTTAAAAAAAATAATCCCCATTAAAAAAAGACTTTGTATTTTCTTTGCCTCTTTCAATATTTTTTTGCTCGTGAGCCCTTTGCCAATTTTCCTAGGAAACATCTTCTTTTTCCTGTTCAAACATTGTAAGATACCTTCCGCTCATCCTCACGATTTGCAGCCATCATTTTCTTTAAGTCTATTTTTCTTTTTTCATCCACAGCCTCTTCCCCTTCATTCCACATATTTTCCATTAGGATTTGCATAATTCAACATAACTTCCTGGCGCAGTAATGCAATTTTCTTCGCTCTGATCCCTGCAATTTCGATACCCACCTTCAATGACCTCTATCCAAAAATAACCTGTCTTCTCATATCCTTTCAAACAGGACACACACTTCTTAAGGTTGTTTTGTTTTCATTCTAGGTTTTTTTTTTTTTTTTTTTGGCATCTTTCCTTTCTTTCCATGCCTACTTTTCTCTAAAGATCCGCTTTTGGTGCTGCTAAAACATAGTTTCCAGTGGTGGGATTCAAAAGGTTTTACTACCGGTTCTGTGGGCGTGGCTTAGTGGGCATGGTGTGGCTTGGTGAGCGTGGCAGGGAAAGGATACTGTGAAATCCCCATTCCCTCTCCACTCCAGGGGAAGGATACTGTATAATCCCCATTCCCTCTCCACTCCAGGGGAAGGATACTGTGAAATCCCCATTCCCTCTCCACTCCAGGGGAAGGATACTGTGAAATCCCCATTCCCTCTCCACTCCAGGGGAAGGATACTGTGAA